CACATGATCAGTTGCTACGCATAAAAAACTGTCAACCTTTTAGAGTTTCTGGCACGTGCGATAAAGAGATGTTAAAAATTTTACAGTTTCAACTTTCATTTGTTCATAAGTGGGAAATAGGCGTATACAAGGACTGATTTCATACTTATGTGACCGCATTTGATCACAGAAAACACTCGTTTTATTTAAAATTGCTAGATTCACTAGTTGTTGTTGTTGAAAAGCCTGGACAGATATCCAAACACACATGCACACACACACGCACACACAAGGTCTCAACAACATGTGTTTTGCATCAGTGAAGCAGGTTAAGAAATGGATAAAAAGCAATTAAGAAAGTTATCAAATTATCAAATCCGATCTGCAAACTGACCTTTGGATGAGGCAGAACGTGAAATCTGGTCAACGATGAGCATGAAAATGAAGCCAGTTACCAAAGAATATCCAATGGACTTGCTAATCGAAGTGATATCTGTTTTTGCCACTTCTGCATGTTTAAGCTCCTGTCGCGTCGCACTCCCTTCAACGATCCGGCACAGTTGCAAGAAAACCGCCCAAATATTTGATACAACAGGAGAATTGGAAGGAAGTGCGCAGTATTATTTTACAATTGTTCTCTTATTTAATCGTAGCGGCCAGTAATTGATATTATCAAGCCTCAGTTAATGAATGCTGTTAACAAATTCAAAAGAGTGGATTTGTTAGACTGCTACATCAAATCGACTAATATATCCAAACAATCAGCCAAAGACTGCTACATCAGATTAACGAATCACATCAATATGTTTGTACTGAATGCACACAATATGCTGCATTTAGAAAAAGTGTCAAGTCTGAGCCATTTGCCCTAAATTACCTCCACAAAACACTGAGATCGCCTGGCGTGAATTTAAGCCATCCAAAAACATCGCATGACTGAAGACGGCTCAAAAAACACCCAATTTTATCGCATGTTGCCCACATCAGTCTGTACAGTCTGTAGAATTTTAAAATTCGAGACACAGCACAACCAAATTCTACTACTTCCGAATCGTGCTAGATTCAATGCAAATTGTGCATTTTCGACCGTTTATAAGGATGCCACAGTAAATAAAGTGAACATACCTGCTATTACGACGGGGCTTAAAGCGGCCTGCCTGGCTTTTCGCTTGACAACATTCGTGTCTTCAAACTTGCTTTTGAAGACATAGCTTTGACTGAAACATATGTTAACGCTGGAGCTGATTTATGGGACAACAAGAACTTTAGAATGAAAAATTCAGCTAATTTCTGAACTACAGGCTGCAACGCGTCGGGCTTGGCGATGCAATTATGCGTTTTTGTGCTAAACTTGCAGATCGTTAATAAGAGGAATAGGTTGTAGCTTAAACTTGGACTCATATTGGCTGTGTTTTGGCCTCTTTCCGCATGCAGGCAGAAAGGGTGTACAGCTGGGATGAAGGTTCTTCATTATAGGGTTGCATGGACGTCAGCGTGCATGATTATCAGTTTTTCGCATGAAGCCCGGTCGTTTTTCCTCTGAATGCTCATTCATTGAAAAAATGCAAATTTGAAGGACGTTAGAAGATTACGAAATCTGCAAAATGCACGCGCTTTTGCGCCTGTGATAAAATTGAGTATTTGTCATGTCCGCGTGCACGAAATTTCACCTCCAAGCTGATTTAAGACCAAACGTGAATGGAGAAAACCGTTGCAAAGTTTCGGTTTTGAAGCTCGTCCGATGAGCGAAATAGTCACTTCGCTACAAATATTTTTAAAGCGGCCTATGTTGTGACGCAAGTTCGAATCAAAACCCAATTTAGATACACGATTTTCCACATGGACGATAAATATTCTTACAGAATTTCAGCTACCGTTTTCCGGCTAGTTTCCGAACTGGCACGGTATCAACTGCTAACTTTCACGTAACCGTAAGCATGG